CCCGGGCAGCGGGCAACAGACGCCGAGCTTCAAGGACTGTGGCGCGGCAGTGGGGGGTGGGGGGGTGGGGCGTGGCCGGCTGGGTCCTGCCGCACACCTCGACGCAGGTGGGCGTGATGCCTCTGTAACCGGTTGTTAGGGGGAGCGCTCACTTCCCACGCAGGAATGCGCTTTGGGTCGCTGCTACGCCGTTTGGGAGACCTTGAAATTCCATTCATAAAAATCATCACGGTGTAGCAAGCCTCGCATGTTAGCCAACCATGCTAGCTCCTGCGTCCATGCGCCAGTGACCCTCAGGGCGACGCATTGGACCATGTGGACAGGAACGCCCGGCTCATCCGAGTCTGGTTCTGGTCCTGGTGGATTCTGGGAGCTGCTGACACGGCCGTGGGACACAAAGCTTCAGCGGACAGCCCGAATCAGGGGAATTATCGCAGGATGCAACCCAAAACACACATGCCTCCCCCCTCCCCTTATACACTGCATTCAGCACCCCGGCCACAGTGGGTGTGGGGGTGCGGTGGGGCTGTGCACGGAGGGGACAGCTGTAATCCACTAAAGTCTGTGGCCTCCTCGGATGCTTGGCAGCTCCACAGAGAGGATTCTCCCCCCCCCCCACCACCGATCTCCTGGAAAGATGAATAATTGGCTGGGTGAGTGGGGGGGGGTTATTGCCTGTACTGTCCTCCGCACCCTTGATACCGACGTGCTCTCTGGCGGCGTTACGTTAAGCTTTTGTCTCGTCGGGGGGGGGGTGGGGTGGGTTCAGCACTAAGACCGCCGGCGGCTGGTGTCACGTGCCCGCCCCTCCCCAGAGAGCCGCAGAATTGCCTGACGCTCCACGACAACCCCCTGAGATCCTGTAAGCAAAAGAAAGATGTTATTCAAGGTGTCTCCACAGTCATGGAGTCACAGCCACATGAGAGCAGGACTGTACACCGAAACAAAAATCTCCCATAAAAACGCGTTTTGCTGACACCGAAAAGACGTGGTATTGTTTTCTGCTTCCAAAAACAGAACATGTAACCCCAGAACTGAAAACAGGGGACAGGAATCCATAACCATGTTCCAGAATGTTCCGCGCCACCCTCCTGTAATGGTGTGCGGCCCCTCATTTCCGAGTCGGGGGGCCCAGAGCATCCGATAACTGCTCCGATAACAGGAGAGTTAATCAGTATTCTCAGCACAAGAAACTTGCCACAATTATGACAAAAGTACAGTAATTAGATATAAAATCCCCAAAAAGCACACAGTACACTATTAGGATCCAATTCAAGTTTCATATTTCGGGGGCCTGTGCTGGTTCCTACAGTTTTTGGCCGTCCAATGACATCTCTTATGTAATGGGACAGATCGATATAATTCAAACAAGGAACCACAGCCTGTGGCCCCCGGCGGAGATTAAAACTCCCACTGGACTCAGGAGGATTAATTGATCTCATTGTTTTGAGTGCCTCTCTCCACTGGACTCACCGGGCCTCAGATGTATCGGCAATTCGAATCGAACACATTAGAGAACCTCCAATCCGTGTCTGACATCAAACGTCACCTTAATGACGAGACTTTCGGGTGGGGTGGGGGGGGGGGGGGAGGAGGTTTAGATTAGATTTGACCTTCCCGTGTCATCAGCTGTGATCAGCAGTTCAGTGGCGGATCAGAAGATACCTGGTTTATCTAAAGGTAAGAGCTCAGATGGTCTTCTGAGGATGTGTCCGGGTCAAACCAGGTTCTGGGTGCCGTCAAATCGGCACCAGCTTTACTCAACAGTGCCGCTCAACTTGTAGCATCGCAAACAGCCATTGGTTGCGTACAGGTGGGGCTCTTATCAATAATATCTTAAAGATATCAATCGGTTATCTGTCACACCCATTGCATTAGGAAACAAATACTGTGACTAGAACAGGATATGCCAGAAAAAGTCTTGCTAAAATTCTGTTGATGCTTCCATTTTAAAATGTGAATAGTTCATTTGGAATTTTTACTTGGGTGATTCAGATCATAGCTCTCATTTCAGACGTAAACTGCTCCAAGGCTGGGAATTTGATGAGGGCAGCTTCTGGGAATACTACACCTTCAGACCTTGTACAGCGACATGGGGAAGCACCACTTTCAAAAAAATCAAGACAGTTTCTGGCACCCGACTTTAAAAGAACGAGGAAAAAAGCACACAAAAAAAGGTGTTCAAAGGTTTTTCCTGCTCCATAATTTACTTTCATATCCTGATACGTGACATGTTTATTTATTTCTCATTTCCACTTATTTCATTTATTTTTATACCAAATTTTAAAATGAATATTTCATCCTCGTATAAAACCTGTCAACGATGCTATTTGAAGCCTTGAACTTCTATTGCATATTTGTGACACTCTGGCAAGTAAAAAACATCAATCTCCTCTTAGCGAGCAAAAAAACTGCGGAAGGTAAACATGTATCCTTTCTCCCCCCCTTCCCTTTCTTATTAGCTGATGTAAAGAAAGTTTTTTTTGTGGCCACAAGCATGGTATACTGAGGAGAAATCTAAAACAACCTTCACTAGCTCCTGCTTTGTAGATGCCCAGTTTACAGCCATGTGGGCACCCCTTCCTTACGGCAGCAGTGCACTAAAAATATCTTTTGGGGGGTGGCTGTCTGAAACTCCTGCTTACACACAGACACACAGATTTGTAATTATTTCTTTGTGAGGACTCTCCATTCATTTATATGGGGAAAACCCTAATCCCAACATGAATGACGACCTCAACCCCTACCCAGTCCTGACCTTAACCATAAGTGACCGAACAAAATATGAGACTTTTGGCATTTGTACCTGAGGTCAGTCCTGAAATGCACATCTCCGGAAGATAATTCAGGATCCGGATTCTCTCCAAAATAATTAGATGAAAGGAGCCCTTGGGCCTTGTGAGACGTACCACTGGAACTAAATTGTAAATAAGGTGGGGATTATTGTTTGCCATCACCTGGCTAATGCTACACACTATAGCATTTAGTCTCCTATAAAGCAAAAGTTTTCAAATTTCTAAAGGACGTCCAAAATAAAACTTGTTATATATTTTATTTAAGTTATATAAAGAGCATATATATATAAACATTCTGCATTGGTTGCTTGTGCTTGGAGTAATTTCTTTCAAAGGCGACGATGTTACCTTAAAACCTCCCCGCATGTCCTTTCACAAGAAAATGCAACATACCGCAGAACTAGCCTTTTGTGCCCTAGACTGTGCCGATGTGCTTTCTGTTTCCATGACGACAGACTTTCATCTTTCATCTTTCTTACTTGCTCGTCCTGTGCTTCAGCTGAATTAGGTTGGTTACAAATTCTTTTGAAGTACAGAGGCAGCCCTCCATCCCACCCCACTTCAAGAAAACAAAACAAAAAAAAAAGAAAAAAACCAGCAAAAAAAAAAAAAATGGGTATGAAACGTGAGCCAATCACACGCACTTCCACTGCGGGCACCAACCAATGGCAGCGCACGTAGGAAATCCACACTCCTATTCAAGCTGGGATGTTCACCATTGCCTTGTGTTTTCATGCACAACTCTTAAGTATCGCTGTGTACCATACAATTAATTTTCATTACGGACTCCTGGCTCTAGTAGAATGCATTGTAGATTGGTAATGATCCTCCATTATGTTCAGCCAGAGCGAATGAGGCTCTTTCCAGAACAAAGCGTCTATCCCAAGGTGCACCAGTGCCCCCACAAAGCGACGTTTTCTCAAGACGACCTTACAGATTATTTCTCCCGTTGCTGATAGACAGTGTCTAAAAATAGACTGTTGGCATAGATGAGGTTTAAGCCCATTGCCTTTGAAGTATAATACACCTTAATTGCTCAGGTGTCGATTTTCCCAAACACGGATGATTCTAGATAGCAAAACGCCTTCCCCTGTTGCAGATGCAAAAATATACGTAGTACACACCCTGCGATGGATTGGCATCCCATTCAGGATGTCCCCTGCTTTGGATAGGCTCCAAAATCAATGCGACAGAGCATTAGGTTGCTGGACAGATACCCACACAGATACACAATATGTAGTACTGCGCAAGTCTTAGGCAGTAAAAGAAAATGATGTTTGTCTGATCTTCATGTTGGAGATAATCTATAACATTAGGTTCGTCAAAGTGTGTCAGCTTAGCCGTTTCGAAACCTCCCCTAAAGTGAGTATTGGCAACAGCCGTCCAATACACCCATGTATTTTTACCTCATATGGCTAATCAATACCTCACTTTGCCGTTTAACTAATCAAGATAATTAATTAAATAACCTGGCGGTGAAACTTAAGAAATACATAGAATGGCTGGGGTGCCCCTAAGGAAAGGTTTGGGAGCTGAAGTGGTGTTTATCTAGCCGTCCAACAAGATATTAGATGAAATTCTTGTTAGTTTTTATTGTTGAGTGGGACGATTGAGTTAGGACGATTCCAAGGGACCATGAGTGACAGGGGCCCTAAAAAATGTGCAAAATAACTGGATTGGTCTGGACTCAGAGGCCCAAAATGCTATGCTTTCATGGTCCCAAAATCTTTAGCATCGCCCCTGCTTACTACCCAGATAAATAGCCTTAAACATCTTCTTTGATAGCCTAACATTTTTGCCCAGCACTGCATGTGTCACAATCCATCACCATGTTTTTTACAATGTTCTCCCACAGGGGGGAGATCAGCTTTACCCCAGGCTCCCAATGAACTAGGAAAACCAGAGATAACGCGCAGCCTGTGCTAAGTTTCCTCACATACAAAGACCTGCCACCCATGTAATCTGTCTACTGAAACACATGCTGACAAACAGTGAAGCCACACGTGTTTATCTATTTATATAGAAAATCTTTTTTTTTTTTGAAGGGGGGGGGGTCGTATTGTGAATTAGGCTACATAAATAATATGACAGCGGCTGGTTTTACAGGCAGAGGCCATTGCCATCGTTCCCGTGTAAGCATCGCGTTCCTGTCGGTGACAGCGCGCGCTTTTCCTGCAGCCCGCGCCTCCGCGCTCTTTCATGTCGGCGGGCGCGCCGCGCGGCAGACGCGCCGTCAGTCATACGCGAGCGGCGACGCGTTCGAGTCCCGCTGTTCGGCGGAGCGCTTTTGAAGTTCAGTCTATTTGAGAAACGGAAGTGCGACGGGAAAAATATATAATCATCGCAAAGTCAAGAGCTTCAAAACGCGCGTCTGTTCTGCCGGTGTCGCTCTCCCGCGAGGGTGGAAACGGCGGGAAGACATCGGGGAACAAAGACACGATTTCATTAAGGAGAAACTGCTAACGAAGAGGCGTCGTTAAGGTATCTGATTTTCTGAAAATGGCAAGACGAAGGACAGAACTTTACGTATACTTTACATAGACAGAACTTACGCGTTTAAGATAATCTCAATAAAGCAAAGTAAACTTTCCCCTGTTCAGCCGCGACCTTCCACACGTCTGTCGCACACGCAGTTTTATTTTTCTAAATGCAGGTGAAAACATCAAGAATTCACATGTGACTTAAAGGAAAATCGAACAAAAATGTAATTATATAAGGAGGGGAAACCCAGCATAAATGTGTATTCTGCCTAATATAAATGTATTTCCTGTTTTCTGTAGTTGTTAATATAGGTGCTGGTAGAGCTCAATGATAAAGCCCACATTGAAAACCACTAATCAGTGTATTGTTTTGATATAGTTGGTGAGAATATGAACCATTTAGCCCCTCATAAATCACTGATTACCATTAAAAGCCAAACACAGTAACACAGACGGTGGTTGGTGGAGCCACATGCATTGATATCACAATGAACACTGTAGACAATGTGCTGTGATTAAATTAAGTTTATTATGTGCTGGAGAGGCCATATAGAAGATAGACGGAGAGATGGATGACGGATGGACGGACAGATGAAAAATGCAAATCTCTAGAACTTCAACATGTGAAGAAGGAGTTAGTCTGATATCTCAGGATTGTTTTAATCTGACACATGCATATACATCCCTATGCATTTCTGTCAGTACCAGTAGGACATAAGATCAGTATAGACTGACGTTGACTCCACAGAGATCAACCTGCCCATGGAGAACAAACAGCATTCAACTCATGGAACTGGAGACACTGAAAATCCCACAATATCCAAGCTTCATCTTCAAGGTTAATCATTGCGGTCTCATGACAACATGACAACAGGCATGAACCGTCCAGCAGGAACATCAAGCATCATCGGTGGATGGAGATGCAGGCGGACACCGCCACAAACTCAGAACTTGGAGGCACGACGGATCAGGCCGCTAAGTTTATTTGCTAATTGAGATGGTTGTCTACAAACATCGGCATCACAAACCCACAGCAAACATTAACAAAATGTAAAATAAAGGATGAATCAAAGGTAAAATAGAAGCCCAGATTCAAGTAACACCCCCGCACCCCCACCCCCACCCCCCCCACCCCCCCACAAAGCCAAGCTCGCTAATTAACTTCAAAGCAACTGATAGGAGTTTAATTAAAAAGAAAACGCGGCAAAAATCAGCTCGCACCCTTCCGACAACATCATTACATCGTCGGTACGATACGGGGCACTTTAAAGAGCTGGGATTGAGTGTATTACAAACAGCCGATGTGTGTTTCAGCTCGACTGAAACATGCAGGGAGAAGAACAACATGGCCGCTAAAGTCAACATTGAGCCTTGGTTAACTTTTAATTGTGTTTTTTTGAACACGCACATTCCTGCAAACACTGGGCTGTAAGATATTAGAGCAGCTCTGCGTAGACAATATGAATGACTGAAAATCTCAACTGTAAAGGGTTCGAGGGCGGAGAAGTTGGGGTTAGGGGTCTACTATCACTGTAGGAAAGCTATTTATCCTGCGTTCGATCATCTCTCTCCGAGTCAGAACTCGGATGAAAACGTCATGAAAAACATCACTTCCCGTTGGAAACACGCATCCTTTCTGATGCTGATGTCGGACAGATTTTTGTTGTCTGAGGTTCCCCTGTGACGTCATTTCAACATGGGGGCTTACACAATCAACAGTAATTCTATTTCATAAATATTTTAAAATGTTCATTTTGTTAAATATATTAATAGTTATAAATGAAATCGCATGTGGCCGATTTAGAGAATATCATGACCGTAAACAGTATCCTAGCGTGCCGTATCAGATTTTTACCAGACTTGTTAGTGTCTTTTGTTTGTTTGTAATTTGCATCTTGAAAAAAGAATATCGCTATGGATCTACTAAAATATAAAGCCTTTAATGTGGTTTGACTAGTTTGTGTTTCTTGTTTGTCTCTCTGAAAAAAAGAATCTCACTCCAAATTTGCTAAAATATAAAGCAACAATACACAACAATTTGTTCATGGAGGCAGCCATGTTTGTTCCGAGATGTGTGTAGTTTGAATGGGAGATTGATCAAATGTGACGTCATGCACCACAGAATTTCCAACTTCTGAAAGATAATGCGGGATTAGCAACCTGTTTTAAAAAGCAGGATTTCTTGCTTAGCCAGACAGCTTGTTGGATTTAAGGTAGCCCAGTTTAAATGGCCGTTATCTTTGTTCACTTATGTTTAACCCAAACTACCTTAAATCTGACAAGTTATCTGTCCCCGTTCTATCCAGTTAATTAACAACTGTTATCAATACCAGTTGATGACAATGCTTAACGTGGTATTTCGCAAATACAAAACCCTAGCAAGATGATATGAGATAGCAGTTAGACAGTACTGAGTGTGTGTCCGCTTTAAAGAAATGCAAATATGATTTCTGTTGATAAAGGCCGCCGCCATCTTGAATTCTGAGGTCAGGATTGCGGAAGTTCCTTTGGATTCCAAGTTGGAATTTTGACCTCTGGAGATGTTCTGGTTGAAATTTCCGATCAGGAACTGATGAGCAATGGTGTTGATGTCTAGGACACTTGGAACTAAAACAATTTTTTAAAAAGATAAAGTTAATTGAGGCCATCCTAGTACACACAGATTATTTATCCAGCTGAAGATGACGATGTACATACTTAGACCTTGATACTGCTGACTGTTCTTCTCCATTCTTTTGTCAAGTGTCCAGTGTTGCACCGTTGTTTTACTGGGAAAATCGTTTCAACTGCATTTCAGTGGATGGGGAACATGACCCAGGTAGCTACCTGCTAACAGGTGAGTCCCTCCACACCGAGCATCGGGGGGGGGGGGGGGGGGGCATGTGGCACAGCGGGGCAGTTGCTGCGGTGGCGCCGTTGGACCTGAGAGGGGAGCAAAGCCATGCTCTACTACTCAGACAGGAACACCCCCCCCCCGCACACACACAAAACACACCTGTCCTTCCAGGTGTTTCCCTGGGGCTGACACACCTCCATGTTATAACTTGCCCCCCCCCCCATCCACTATCCCCCTCCCTCTATGGTTGCTAGAACTCCAGCCCTGATATCACCTTCGCTATACATACACACATACCTCGAGGATACCGCTGGATGTCAAGGAGATTAATTGAGGCAAGATGGGGTTGAGGATGGGGGGGGGGGGGGGGGGCAACACGAGAGCTGCGAGCTTGCTGCACTGGAGCCATCCTGCAGGAACCCCCCACCTCGAGCCATCCATCAGCGCCCCGCATCGGGACGAGCATTAAACCCCAAGGTGAGACTCCTTTGTCTGCAGGTAGCTGGGCTCTGGCCTGGAGCCCACAGTCTGAGCCTTTCATGTGGGTGCGGAAATTACCCCTCTTTGAGAGAGAAGGAGAGGGAGAGAGAGTGTGCACGTGTGTGTTCAGACTCGCCTCCACTCGGAGGTACTACCGCTCTGCACTCACGTCCCTGCTGCGTCACCAGGCCAGGCACCATGACCAGAGACGCCAAAAGCATCCTCGCCGCTCGCAGGAAGAGCTGCGTATCTTTCTCTGCACGTCCAGGTCAAGTAGCCCGAGGCTTCGGCGACAGAACGGTCAGCACGGCAATGGGCCAGCGGAGCGGATCTGTCAGCGCGTATCGATTAAGACGCCACGTCGATTTTCTAATATGCTGTGTTTTGATGTACAGATGCAAAAAAAAAGCAAAACTCACAACCCATATAATCTGCGGCTTCAATATTTGGACAAGGCTGCGTTAAATTTTTTATCAGCCGAAAGCTTGTTATTTCTAACCATAAAGAGTATTTGTTCTATTATTTACATCAGTTCTTTACTTTTTAAAGTCTGAAAAGATGCCTCTGCTCTCTTGCAGTGTCATGTGACCCTCCACAGGCGAGATTCACATTCTAGTGGCGCTTCTCAGTATGCGTACTCGACCGTACTTGTGTTCTTGTGTACCCGTTTTAAGTCATCTTTCATTGTCAAAGACCAATTCCGATACTCAAGAATAGAAGTACAGAAGACGGTAAAAATCTCCGGATGTCGTTTTTGCGCCACCTCAAATATCAAGGATACATCGGTTGCATCCTCACCAAACGAGGCCAATCCCATGATTCATTGCGCCCCTAGTTTGTTCTTGGAAGGTAAGTTGGCAAGACCGGTTTTGCCAAGACGATAACTACGATCTTTGCATTCTTGGTGTTGAGCAACACTCTCAGTTTCTGGTAATCGCTACTGGAGATATCACAGTCATTAAGTCAGTACTTGACCCCACTGACCTTCTTATAGAAGCCAATCATTTCGCCCACTGGTGAACATGTGTCTGTTTCGCCGCTTTCTATAGCTGAACCATAAAGTTTGTTCACCTACCAACACGCGCCTTGTTGAGGAAAGCTAACATTTCAGGGGTTTTCCCCAGGAAAGACTAGAGGGACTTAAGGCTGCCATTACAGATGAAACCAGGCCCCAAGGGTTCTGACCAATCCGGGAGTAACGTTTGACCCTCTGTGAAAATGCAAGATAAAACACACCAGTCAGGAGAGAGCAAATGGAGACATGCACAGATAATTATTTATAGATAGGCAAGATGGAGAAACTGACTAGAAATTTTCATAAAAAGAGCGAACAAAATCATAAAAATCTTTGATCTTCCTGTTTCTTAATTACACAACAAAGCCCTGAATGAATGAGGGAAATGTCAGCGGTTACGGAACCTCCTACTGCCTGAGCTGTCCTGTCAAGCGGTCATCTTGCCAGTGGACATGACCGCGGCACTGACCCCAGAACAGCCGTGCAGGCAGAACTGACCGATAGCCGGCCTGTCAGCACTGACCCTGAGCAGCAGGCCCAACGGGAGGCCAGAGGACAAACTACAAAGTACAAAGGCTGAAAGGATCTATTACCCTCCCCTGGGTAAATGTTGTTGCTTATTTTGGGGTGGAGGGTCAAGTTTGGCAAAAGTCAAAAGTTGAGATATGTGCAATACGGTGGGAAATTCCTCTGAAATGATCTTCAGTGTTTTTTTCTGTTTTCAAGCCTTGTACATCTATTATTTTAACCCAACTATCCAGTGAATCGGTAGGCTTTAGAAACACAATTGGCTTTAAAAAAGAACCTCTTTAACCTTAACACAGTATACTTAGATTTTGTTGCTGATGTCTGGATGACACAGGCCAATGTGCCCCCCCCTGTGAATCTCTAGTATATCAGGACTGTCATTCTATCACCTAAGCCCTGACTTCTAATCATAAGATAACTGAAATACATCATGATACAGTATTAAATCTTCATATTGTGTTTTTATGTTTCGGCTAATCTCAGACACATATAAGCAGAATCAACCAACATCTTGTGAGTGACTCATTCCCTATGAAGGAATGCATGTAATAGGAAATAGCTAATAGGTATCTGACACAGTTACTCAGTCCTGGAGCTTACTGAGAGATCACCATCAGTGCGTAATAGGTGGCGGGTCCCCTCTGTGTTTGGACTGTCCAATCCACCTGCATGCTGCGTTTTTGCCAGATGTTTGATGCGCTGCCTCCCACAGAGCACCATGGGAACTGCAGTGAGCAGATGATCAGGTGAATGATTGGTCCATCCTCAGGGCTGGGCATTGTAGACTGCAAAACTAACGCCTATAAACCCCTCAAAATAAGGAGGATTCAGTTAGATTGATGCAAAATACACGCAGTTGGGCTAATCGATCTCTAAATTGCCTGTAGACTACGACTGAGAATCTGAGTGTGTGCATGCATGTGTTCTGCCATCCCGTCCAGGGCGTCCCCAGCCCTGCGCTGCCTGGGACAGGCTCCAGACCCCCCTGCTAGCCTGCCAGGATAAGCGCTTATAAGCCGGGTGGATGTTTTCCATTGCCATGCCAAGCAAAGCCGCTCCACAAAAGCATTAACTGATGTTTTGGTAGTGCTACAGGCGAGATCCACAGCGGAGTATGACCTGTTTGAGCCTCATCTTCTGACGAGGGACTTCCCCAGAGAATGCCGTGCCTGGACACGCCACTGCCGTGCCTTTGAGCGTGCTTTAATTGGTAGCCGAAGGATGGTGCGTCTCAGGCCATAAATCCAAGCCCGTTTCCACACAGATGGCAGCCATTTATGATGATTCTATTTAAACGGTATAAATACGTTCAAGTATGCCTTTGATAGCGGTGCAGGTCTGATTTACGGCCTACCGTTTTATTTGATCAGACCCTTCACTTGTAATATCACCTCCAAGCTGGCTGTTCTGGGGGGGAACCACCTGTTCGGATTTCCAGGTTGGGGGGGGGGGGGGGCTATCAGATATCGCATCCATGCGCTACAAACACAAGCTACACACAGTTTACCAGGGTGTTGTGTATATCGTTAGTTTATCAATGTTCTTCATCAGTTGTTTTTTTTTTTTTTTAAATAAAACAGAATGTCTACATTCTTGACACACTTTTAATGCCCCTTTAGGAAATGTGGATGGTGCAAAAATCTGAGTTTGAACTTGAACTAGTTACTACACCCAAACCACCCCCAACCCTCCGCATCTGAACCGCATTGAAAATTAATTTGTCCGACGCCCTGAGCCATTCTATCCCTCCAATTGTCTCTCGCCAATCTTGACATATCCCCCCCCC